GGAAAGTATTTAGCTTATGGAATTAAAGGTAACACAGATTTAAATTAAGGCTATAAATATTTCATCATTTACCAAATTTAAAACATTGAAATTATTTAGTTAGTAATGGAGGAAATATGGTGAGAGTGGTATGCCAAGAATACGAACAAAGAGCACTATTAAGGGGAATGCGTGCGGCGATACAAGATCTAGCTTTCGCGCATGTTTCAACTGCAATTTTAGCATGTGTCGACTTGTGTGGAAATCTTTTTATACACACTATTGAATCAACAATATCTGAACTGTCATGTAGTTTATTACTACAAGTAGATGCAGCTGACCCAGTGAACACTGATCACCGTGTAATATGGTGTCCATATATTCCTGAGGATGCACCATCCGATGGAGATGAAGTTTCTAAACTTTTAATTTTAACTCGTGGTTCAAAAGCAGAGTTGTGGTCAGTTAATACTGTTACATCAAGATTCAGATCAATAGAGGTGAATGTGTACCTTACTTACAGATTATAAAATCCATACAAAATGAACAAACTATCCAACTGTTTGACTGAATGATAGGCAACCGATCCAGTCGCTAAGGAAAATGGAGGCATGTTGGAAATTGATCAACATTCCGATACGATCGTCGAAGCGACCTTTAGTCCTGATGGCACAGCTTTGGCTACTGCAAGTTACGACGGAGAAGTAAAATTCTTCCAAGTTTACTTACATGGTAACTCTCATGGTAATCAAGCACAACCGCGTTGTTTACACCAATGGAGACCACACGGTGGTCGACCTATCTCATGTTTATTTTTCTTAGATGATCACAAGACATACCAACCCGAGTAAGCAATGTTAAATAAAATATCAGTAAATAGTGAAATATAATAATCGCTTATAACAATGTTTTATCTTTTAGTGTACAATTTTGGAGGTTTGCCATAACTGGTTGCGACAATAATACAGAATTAAGAGTATGGTCGTGCGAACTATGGACTTGCTTGCAGACTATTAAATTCGCGCCAACACCTTCCACCGGCATACTGCCAATTTTAAAAGCAGGCTTAGATCTTAGCGCTGGATATCTTTTACTATCAGATATATATAATAAAGTTCTGTATATACTAAGTATTACAAAAGATACCGGAAAAATTTTAGCATCTGTAACTACAATATCAGAGTTCCTGCTGCCATATCCAATACTGAGCTTCGGGATCGTCGACGCTGGTATGCGCAAAATACGTCCCACTGGCGAATCATTGGAAGACTTATGTCCAGTTGACGAAGAAGTTGAAGAGCAACTTGTTATTCAGATGTATCTAGTTCAACCAAAGTCTCTACAAGAGTGTCACATCGCTTTTAGACCTGCTTCACAAGCGAGCGGTCGTAGCCTCATGGATACACTGGCTCAAGATTCATTGGACTATTCCGAAGAATTATCAAATATAGGGACTGTTAATCATAATGGAATCTCAGGAGAGAACTGCGAAGAAGATCTTTCGTTATCTACTACAATCGATGCAGCAACGAACCACAATACCGGATTGAATTTAATGACGCCCGACGCGTTCAGTTCACCTGCCAAGAAAGAGAATAATGAACTTGATTCTCGTCCTTGTAGTCCTGAATTGGACAAGGTGTTATCTCCTAGTCCTTCCCTTGCACAAGCTGTGCAAGCTCTAAATGCAACGGATCCTCCACTGGTCAAGAACGAACTAGAAGAACAAGCACCAGCTAGTAGCGGTAGTAGTCCATCTAGAGAAGTCAGAGAAATTCTGTCTCTTACAAAGCCAGATGAAGAACCTGAAGCTGAAAAGGAGCCAGAAAGTACCAACTATGAGGATACCAATTATGACTGGCCTACGCCAATGGAATTATTTCAGTTGCGAGAACCTGAAGGATACACGAGTGAAGATGAGAAAAAGGTAAAAGACGAATCGAAGTCAACGACGCATACCACAGGAGATGCTGAAAGCACTTGGCAAGTGGCAAATGAACTAAATACGCTTGAATTAATAAATAAATTAGAATCTATTTTGGAAATAATTCAAGATCAACGACAAGAAGTTAGAGAACTACGCACAGAAGTAACTAGGTTAGGGCAAGAAACGCCGATATCGACGCGGGTGGAATCTGCTTTAGCAAAAGCGTCTCAACAGCAAAATGCAACGTTAGAGCAAACATTATATGGCCAAATGTCACGCCAACATGAATTTTTCAATACACTTGAAACAACGATCAAAGATAAAATCGAAACTACTCTGCCACGCATCATCGAAGACACGGTAGAACCATTGAAGCATCAACTTAGGCTAGATTCCACTCGAATGGATGAACTTTTAAAAGAAAACTTAACGGAATTGATTAATAGTTCTCATGTCAAAGACACGCTCGCGTTAGCAGCAGCAAACGCGGCAAAACCAGCATTAGATATGGCATTTAAAGAAACCTTCACGAATATTATTTTGCCAGGAATGGAGAAAGCATGTCAAACTATGTTTAGACAAGTACAAGATGCCTTCGATAGAGGTACTCGCGAATGTAAGGATTCATTCATTACATTCATAAATTACATTTTTCTCAACATTGAAGTGAAGTAAAATAACTTACTTTTTTTCAGATCTTGAAAATGTGGATGTTATCGCAGACAAGCAGTACCAACAACGAAATGAACAACAAAGTGAAACGTTGTCTGCGTTAATCCGCGAAGAACTACAAACCGAGTTAAACAGGTGTTTAAATGCTTTACAAGAAGAAACAACACGTACAATTCGTGATTGTATCAGAGATAATTTAAATCAACAGCTTACCGAGCTTACGAATGCACGGTAAGTGAATATAATTTTTTTTTTCGCGGTTACAATACAATGTTCGATTGGGCTGGAAAAAATAATAATATAAATAATTAATATAACTTTTAGTTCACGAGCAACTACTCCTGCTATAACAGTACCTGCAGTAGCCGATGCTCAGGCACGAGTAATATCCCTTCTTCAAAGAGGACAATTGAATGCTGCTTTTCAACAAGCTTTAAGTGCAAGTGATTTGGGTTTGGTAGTATTAGTTTGCGAAAAGACAGAACCCGCCAGAGTATTTTCTTGTTCTGTTGGACCACAGGGCCAAAGTTCAAGATGTATTTTACCACAGCCTGTAATACTGTCGCTAGTACAACAATTATCTGCAGACTTAGGACACCGTACAGAACTGAAGCACAGGTAATAGAAATTTTTTTAATAATTGTATAATTTTATCCCTTCAGTAGTTCTGATAGTTTACAATTTCTCGTCAGGTGGCTCGAAGAAGCAATATTAAACTTGGATCCCAATGATCCAGTGACGCGAGAACATATGGGCACAGTGTTAATTACCTTACAAAATCAATTAAGTGCATTCGTTACAGCTAATCCAAATCACAGTTCTACTCGACGTATGAAAATGTTAGCTATGGCTGCACGTGCACTATTAAACCAACATCCTTGATGTTAGATACCATCTGGAGTAGAAAGAACCCGTTAATAATATGACATCAGGTTTTATACGTTTCGTTAAAAAAATACCTTTAATCTGAAATCAATATCCACAATTGTCGTATTTAAGACTGCCAGATATTAACATAGATTGTGAACAAAATATTATATAAATTTATTATCAGTAGTTTTATCTAGTTTATCGAAACCTACTCCTGTAATTTGATTGTTTACAAAGTACATACGTTTATGGGATATTGAAGGGTTTATCAGAAAATTATTTTCTTAACGTCAAAGGAATATTACATAAATGTATTAAGCAGTATAATTAAATAAGGTGATATAAATGGAATTAAGTCGTTAAAATGTGAGCAACTTAATTAATATAAATCATTAATTACTTACATTAGTTATTGGCATTGTACTGATTATTAGTATTGACGAGTTTATTAATAATAATAATTTATAAGGTACGTAAGAAACTTCTTTCTTTTTTTTTAATTATTACTTTAATAATTTGATATTATTTTTCTATGAGGTTAAATCTAATTAACGCTTCTTACATGTAAAAGAATTTTTAAAATAGTATTTTCGTAAGTAAATTGACGTTCAATGATATAATACGCTCTTTAATTCTCTTAAACGTTAACTTTATATTTAATCATCTATTTGTAATACATTTCATGACACATTGTATAATACATATTAAACTTATCATGTCCACGAGGATGGTGTAATTCTAATTTTTTAATTAGACTTGTAAGTTGTAAGCTTTAACGACTTTCTAAAAAGAAATTTCTTACATCAATTTTATGTTTCATTGCTATGTTTTCAAGTATTTCTGTCCGACATTATTTTTTATTTTATCTCTATTTCAGTCATATTTTCTCTTTCTCAATATGCTGCTAATTACATTGTAACAAAACATGATATTCTATATTTCTTACTATGAAAGAATAAAAACTTTAAAATTGATAAGTTTGATATCACATTTCATATCTGTGTTAGAAATGATTTTTTATATATTTTCATTATTATGTAATTTGGCACATAAATGAAACTTGTTCTTTCTTTAGGTATCGTCTTGTGCCATATGACACATACATTTACAGTACTTCCATTGTATGTAATAACCCCTAAAAAGGGCTGTAAATAGTGTGCAATTTACGTGTAATTGTAGATCCCTTCAAATTTTTGTATATCTGCACATGAAAGTTCCTAATTAAAGATTTTCATCGTGATCGTTGTAGCATTAGGTACTGCGGTAGAAATATAATATATTTAAGAAATGTACATCTTTCTTAAAACTGATGATTCTGGCTACTTACTTTTTTCATTCTAATTAGATTTAATTCTCAATACTATGTTCATAGTACGTACAAGGGAAAGGAATATAACAAATCAAATAATTAAGCTACTCATTACTAAGATCATACTGTTAATGGTATTTTGCAATCTTCTATGAAACTTTTGAAACAATTACATGCATTTCAACTGTACCATCATATAAATACGAACTTTCATCGTGTCGTTTTTTAACAATACAGATAAAATAACTGTTTAATATTCTATGTATTTAAGATTACAATTTTCTCATTAATATTAGCAACTATTTTCTATTCATAAATAGACTCATCATGTATTAGGAATAATATATCACAATATCATTCTATTATTTTAATTTTACAAACTGAAAAGACTATTGTATTATGAATAAAAATGAAATTTATTTACATAAATTTGTCTTATTTTTAGTTCCCTGTGTTCTTTTGTCTGGAGTTGTTTTTAATTTCAGCAACTAATGCTTCTTTAACGTGAGCTGCTATTTTCATTTTCTTTCTCTTTTTAACTTTTCCAGATTTTTTTCCTGTAGTATTATTTGAAATTTCTGTTTGCGGTTTCTTCTTTTTCTTCAAGCAACTAAGTGGATTTGGACCACTTTTTTTTCGTTTCTTCTTTAATTTGAGTTCTGATTTTTCTGTTAGACCAGCTGCTTCTTTTAGTGTTTTAATATTTTCTGTTTCCCACGAACTCATTCCTAATTCTTTACGGATATTCTCAGCATATTTTCGACTTGCTTGCGAAGGAGCCTCCAAAGTTGGTGCTTTACCATGTAAATATATTATTGGCACACCTGGAATTTTTCTCAAAATATCTTGAAGTTCTCTATCCTGAGTAGCCACAATATACCTATAATACATATTGTCTTCAATGTTTTGTCTTCTACAAATTACTTTATTACTATTTTACCTAGATGAATTATTTTTCCCAACCATCGATTGCAAACATTTTGTACCAGTTATAAAATGTTTTTCGTGCCCACATTTGTGTATAGGATATTGTTTAACTATTTGCATAGCACCGCTGACTGCCTTGGAAAATGAACCAAGTTTCTCAGTCTCCAAAATTATACATGGTGTAGTCAAAAGTTTCACTTCAGCTTGAAAATACTTTGACAACTGGTCTTGTATATTGAATTTGTTCTAAAAAAGAACATAATAAAAAGATATACACTAAAATAATTAATTAAGTATAATAAGCAGTTTCGCGAATGTTAAATAAAACGTGTTTATACAAACCTCGAGTGCAGCGAATGCAAATGTACCATCAATAAGAATTTGGAATGGTGCTCTAAATTTATAATTGTTAATGAAAAAACCTAGATTTTTTCTTGCTTTCTTCTGGCGAGCTGTTTTCATATTTTTATTTCTTTTATTATACTTAGGCGAAATCGAAAACTTGTCACTTTTATAGATTGTTATTACGATACATAAATACACTGACTTAGCATAGAAAATATATATAACCTATTACTAATATTGATAATTAGTAAATTGTAAGAGTAACGACAACGTTACTCTTCGTTACATCGTTGGTTAGAAGTGGTTATATAGAAGCCGGTCTGTTGCGTACTTGCGTCTCTTTTTCAAACAGTATTCAGTACATGGTGTGCTAATATTATTTCAGATATAAGAATTTTATTGTTGTTTCTATTTATTAAAAAAGAATATCAATATGTGAGTATTAAAAAAACATTTTCTTTCAGTTTAATCCATTCCCGCATTTAAATAAAGAAACATAACCTCAATTGCTTGTTTGTGCTTTGATTTTTCAAATAATTTCTATGACCAGCAAAGTTATTATAAATTTTGATGAAAATGTATTTTTTATTGTAGGTCTTCTCTAACTAAACCAAAGTCTGAAATGACTCCTGAGGAGTTAGCAAAACGAGAGGAAGAGGAATTTAACACAGGACCACTTTCTGTGTTAACTCAGTCTGTAAAAAATAATACACAAGTATTAATCAATTGCAGAAACAATAAAAAATTGTTGGGAAGAGTAAAAGCATTCGACAGGCACTGTAATATGGTTTTAGAAAATGTAAAAGAAATGTGGACAGAACTTCCACGTACAGGAAAAGGAAAGAAGAAGGTAAATTTGTTGTAGCTTATAAGTATTTATACATTGTTTAACTAAGAGTAATTAAGTATGAAAGCTCTAATTTTCTAGGCAAAACCAGTAAATAAAGATAGATTCATCTCAAAAATGTTTTTACGAGGTGATTCTGTTATTCTAGTTCTAAGAAATCCACTAGCAACAGCATCAGGAAAATAATTTTCAAATAAGTTTCTACTTTATAATTACAATAAGGATGACAAACTGATAATAAACTTTTTGATATAAGCTATGTATGTCTGATCATTTTATTTATATGGTAACAATGATATATATCCTGGAAAAATGCATATATTTTAAATATTGAAGTAAAAAAGAGTACATTAAGTAAGACATGACATTTATTTGTGTTAAAGTATACATAAAGTTATCAATCTTTTTCAGCAATTGCAGTAAGATGCTTATCTATTTCTTGTTCTGTTAGAATCCTGAAATAACAAAATGAATTATTTATTGATAAACTTTGCATACATGAATACATGACCAACAATTATATCTTAACATACTTACTGAAATTTAGGATTGTCTTTTGATACTACGCCAACTTCAATTTCAGTTGGTTTAAAATCTACAGACAGGACAGTTGATAAACATGTAATAGCTAATTGAATAGTTTCGTCGTAATCATAATTTTGTTTCTTTTTCAATTTCTTCTCCAGATAAGAATTAGCTTCAGTTTGCTTAGCACCAACAGAAATGGCTTTATAACCACAGAAATAACCCGCAGGGTCAGCTTTATAAATACACGCGCCTTTCTCTTTATCATATGAAATAAGCATCATAGAGCATCCAAGAGGTCGCATTTCGGCATTCTGCGTATAGACTTGACTGATATCTGCAATACGACGGCACAAGGCATCCACAGGAATTTCATAATCATATTTATACTTAAAGTGAGCCGCTTCATACCGTGCACGTTGCACTTGTGATCTGCTATCAGCTGTAGTATAAAACATTACTTAATAAAGAGAAACATAATTTATATTACATAAAAATTACATAGAGTATTTTATAATACAGAGCATAGAAAAACAAAGGAAAGATGAATAATTCTTAAGTTAATAATTCTTTTCACTTACCAATCATGCCTGTCATAAGGCAACCAATATGCTCAGTGAGTTGAAAAATGTGAGTAACACTGGAAGCATCGAGTAACTTATCCTGTAAAAAGATATCTTCAACAATTTGACCAGTTTTGCAAGAATATTTAAACATTCTTCTAAGATATAATTGGATTACACCCTCATTAAAAAAATGAGAGGATTATATTACAGAAAAGTATTAGTATTAATAGTAAAGTTATGAAGAGGTTATCTTACAGGTACTTTCTTCTGTGTCGCAAAAACGGCAGTATCGACTCCTTTAACGGCAACAGACGTTAGGCCACCTTGGTTTATTGCTTTAAATGCATATTCTAGAAAAAAATTGCATGTTATTTTTCAGTAAATTCAAAACTGCAGATAACGCCATGTCATGACTCTTGGTTGTAGAATGCATATACAGTTCAATGAATAACATAGAAGATTCCGATAAATAGTTAAGAAGTATACGTAATGTAATGTACAATATTTTTATGACACTTACCCACTTGATAAAGCCTTCCTTCCGGCGAAAATATCGTAATATGTCTATCAAAACCAGCACTGCTACCTCGCGCCATGTTCACAAATATTAATGGTTGCGTTCAAAAGTTTCAGGTAACCCGAAACGTCAAATCATCCAAGAGCTACATTAGAGTAGTTCACAATGAGCGACACATTTTATTACTAAAACAACTTTTACCATTCGAGGATAAAATTAAAATTGAATATCTGACTGGTTCTCTACTTTTTCTTGAAAATTATTATGATCATTCAGACTAACGCCGTAATTTAAATATGTTTTTGCGATGAGTATTTCCTACTTCTTGTTCTTTCGATAGAAATATTTTAGAATTGAGTTTTATTTTTAAGTTTTTAAAAGAAAATATTTATGCTCTTCAATACAGCCCTGACAATGAGTTTTATCAAGATTATGTACTTAACAATTACAGCTATATACAGACAAAGATAAAATTGATTATTCGAATGACTGCATACGATTATGAAAAAAGCAATTTAAAAAGTTTTTCGTTAAAAGATAAAGAACTTATGGATAAAACTTATATTTAATTTTTAGGAATAAAAACATGATTATTGGTATAATTCTAGTATAATTAACGTTCGTAATGTCTTTCAGATTCAAAGTTCTTTTGATCAAGATCGAATTTAATCGATTTACCATATACAGTACGTAATATATAATAATAGGCATTGAAATATATATGCGTAAATACGTGCGATAGAACATTTTTGCAAGCTATACGAACGTTATCGTAAACTATTGTAATCAATTCCAATCAGTTGTTCTAATGTATCATTAGTGGGGAACTATGATAAGCTCGTTTCATTAGGTTACAGCTGATACTAGAAAAGTTTCCAGTAGCTGATCGAAGCATATAAATGATTGCGTTCTTTTCACCATAGCACAAATGTCCGCATCAACAGGTAAAAATATTTCAATTGATGATACCTTGGTAGAAACGAAATATTTTATAAACGAAATATCCATACCAAATGAAGGTAATTATTTTGTTGTTTACCTAATATATACCGTTATCGATCGAATGGTACTTTTTGAATAAATTCTTAAAGACAAGCGTCTGTTAGACGACTTATTGTGATATTATTTTTTTCTAACGAAATTTAATTACCACGATAAAGTAACAGTAATTTAAAAGTATAGCAATTCATTACGAGTGAAATCAAGGTAATATCTGCGCGGGACTATTGTAAATTTATACGTCATTGAAGTTGAATGTAAAATTCACGTGACTCCTTAAATTTACGTTGCGATTTACGATATTCTGTGATTGTAAGTATACCGTATGAGCATTTTTCGTCGAAAAAATACTTTTTTTAAATTTTAATGCAATTAACTAAAAAATTATGTAATTCATTGCGCACGTAAATAAAAAAACATGTTGATTTACACTATTGTACATGTACATTTTTTATAATTGCAGATGATAAAAAGGAAAATGGCCCACAACATAGTACAGAAACATTAAAGGAAGAATTCAATCCTACTGGTTAGAATTCTTCTATTTTTGCAAAGAAGTCATTCCAAATTAGTGTTCTATGTTTCAACTATTAGATCAATATTTTATAGAACATCAACATATTCGATATAATCCCTTGAAGGGAGAATGGGTACTAGTGTCACCGCATCGATTGAAGCGACCATGGGGAGGGCATATCGAACCAAGTATAGAGGAAGACGTTCCAGATTACGACCCTGATAATCCGCTTTGTCCAGGCAATGTTAGAGCCAGCGGGCAGGTTATATTTTCACATATTTATTTCCGATTTTTTAGCTTCTAATAATAATTAATTTTAAATTTATTTAATTTTTTTCAGATAACTCCAATATATGAAAACACATATTCGTTCGTCAATGATTTTCCTGCATTATTAGAATCAGTTCCTAGTCCATCAGTGTCGGAAGATGAACTGTTTCAGATGGATTCTGCCAGAGGCACATGTAAAGTAATGTGCTTTCATCCAAAATCGAACATAACAATAGCCCTTATGAAAGTGTCTGAAATCAAGGAAGTTGTTAAACGGTATGTCTGTGAAATATTTTCTATAATTTAAATTCTTATTCAATAAGTATTGTTCTACGTCAGATGGATACTTGAAATGCTTGAATTGGGAGATAAATGGACTTGGGTGCAAATTTTTGAAAATCGTGGTGCTTTAATGGGATGTAGTAATGCACATCCACATTGTCAAATTTGGGCCAGTTCTTTTTTACCAAATGAAGCCAAAATAAAAGATAGATACCTTAGTGATTATTATAATCGTAATAAGAAACCACTTCTCATTGATTATGTGCAGAAAGAGCTTCTCAAAAAGGTGGGGTGCATTGATCATGTGATGTATATTTTCATTAAAAAATACACAACACTTAGATGTTACCTTCTTGTGCAATTTGTAAAAAAAAATTATAAATATTATATTAAAATTAATGTATAAATTATTAACTTACTTTACAGGAGCGCGTTGTATTGGAAAATCGAGATTGGGTAGTCTTAGTGCCATTTTGGGCAGTATGGCCATATGAAACTATGGTACTGCCTAAAAAACAAGTATCCAGAATGCAGGATTTAACGGAAAGTCAGCAAGAATCACTGGCAGTTATTATGAAAATATTATGTACAAAATATGATAATTTATTCAGTTGCTCTTTTCCCTATTCTATGGGCTGGCATGGTATAATATAGCACTGTTCAGTATATATATTCGGTAAAAAAATACCTTTATAATTAAAAGTAATATTTCGATTGTTTTTTTCTTTGTTTAAAGGTGCACCGACTGGCCCATATTCCAAAGAGGACTATCCTTATTGGACTTTTCATGGTATCTACCTACCTCCTTTATTACGTTCTGCAAGTATAAAGAAACATATGGTTGGTTACGAGCTCCTCGCACAAGCTCAAAGAGATTTAACACCCGAACAAGCGGCTGAGAAATTACGAAGTCTATCGGATTCTCATTTCAAGTATCCAGAAACAAGTTTAACTAGTTGCGAAGTGGAAGAATATTCCAAATAAATGAATTCGCTTTATATACGACAATATATTTTTATAGGTGTATATGTTATTGGCATATACATTATTTATAAAGCCAGATATCACTGAACTATGGGCACATAAACTTTATGAATAAAAAGCATAATAAATATAACAAACGAACATAACTATATTTAAAATTTTACACAATTAGTACACAGGAAACGTATGATCGATTTTCTTACTCCAAGCATGAATTCCGCCGATTATGTCTTTTATTTCTAAGTTACTTTCGCTCAACATCGTTTGAAAATGTTTTACAGCCTTTTGCGAATCATTCCCTCTTCTGCACATCACATATACTAAAAGAAGATATAAAATGTGCCTAACTTCAAAAATGCAGAGCCAACGTCAACGTTTATATACTTACAACCAACTTCGTCGTGTTCTTTTTTCATTTCTTGCATTTTGTTTTTTATCAGCATTATCCTTTCGTTATTATTTATTTCGTTCAACGGTATATTTACAGAATTTTCTAAACGACAGATTTGAAATTCTTCGGATGAACGCACATCGATCAACACGTGCGGTTTTGTACCTAATTTCAATGTTTCTTTGTATTCTTCCACGCTCATTCTTTCTTCTTCCTTTAATATCGCCAACTGCGGATCTTTATCATTTGCTTTCGCGCCACAAAATTGTTCGTAATCGATTAACTTTTGTATAGTCGGATGTTCGCCGCACACGGGACAATCTACATTTTTGGCACGCAAATTGATATTCCGAAATTTCGTTTCTAATCCATCGTATAACAGAAGTTGACCAGATAATATGTGAGGCATTTTAAGCAGAACCTTTAGAGCTTCTACTGCTTGTAGAACGCCGATGGTACCAACAACTGTGGTAAAATAACATGTTAAACATTTTTACATAACATATGAAATAAATTAATTAATAGTAAATAACTATAAATACCTGGACCAAAGACACCGCCATCTCCGCAATTTGTTACAGTTTCTGGAGGAGGAGGTTTAGGGAATATACATCTGTAGCAAGGTCCATAGTAATTAAATACTGATAAATGTCCCTCGAATCTTAACGCTGAGCCCGACACTAACGGTTTCTTACTTAGAACACATGCATCATTCAACAGATAACGTGTAGCTGCATTATCAGTTGCATCTAACACTACATCGTAACATTTTATTATTTCTAAGGCATTACTACTGTCCAATTGGATTTTATATGGAGTAATTTTAATATTACTATTTAAGCTGAAATTGTTATAAACTATTATTTAATATGTACATTAATACAGCCACAATTTCTACATCTTGAATTTTTTAAATCTGTTTATTATATTGATTCTTCATACCTAATGTAAATATAAAAAATATTTTTTTGAGAAGCTTATTACATGCTCTATTTATAGAAACAAAATTCAGTTTTTCGATCAAGCATATGATACTGCTATAAAAAAATTATGAAGGTACTCTCTGTTTTGTATGAAGATGGCGTAACCCTTCAATCACAAAGTGAATATATAATATTATATTAATTCATATGTACCAATTAAGATTTTTTGCAGCAGCGTTTACTTTAGGTGTTCCAATGTCAGTTTCTCTAAATAGTAACTGTCTATGAAGATTATTAATCTCTACATCATCATAGTCAACTATACCAATATGTCCAATACCAGCAGATGCCAGATATAATGCAGCAGGACATCCAAGTCCACCTGCTCCTACAATAAGTACTGCACTGTTTTTTATTTTTAATTGACCTGCAATTACGTAATTATAGAAAGATTAGCTAACTAAAAATAGTTTACAATCAACATATGGAATATATTCTATTGAAAAACAGTATAAAAAGTAAATATTTTAAAATGTTCTCTTTTCTCATAAAAAATTATAATATTTCCAAAATTACAATACACCTTTCACGCCAACTTCCGATAAAAAGATTTGTCTGCTATATCTCGATATCTCGTTGTTGCTCAAGCCACAGTCTTGCACGATTTGTTTTTCGCGCCTTAGGATGGCCAGTTGGGCTTCCTTCGCGCGTAACAACTCACGCAAGCTCGTAATTTCATCAATCAATTCCTTTTCATTCATCTTCGTCGAATGGATTTCTCGAAATAGGTTATGACTCTGTTTTCGACAATTTCAAACGAACATTTAGTCGAGAACCTTAAATAAAGGGTCTTGTTTAGGTTATATCGACATACATTCGAAGAACAAGATAAACAGGGCCGTTATCTGACGTTATTCTCTCGGAGCCAAGTAACACATACTGCACAATGTAATAGAAGATTCGTTTAATAAAATTTCAACGGCAAAGTGTATAGAATTACACTATAACCTTCGGTGTTCTATTGCTAATCCACCGTATTGTTGTCAATGCTCTCGAGAATTCATAAATACTCATAAACTGCGCATTTAAATGTGTGTTTACGACAAGTGCACAAGTGGTTTCCCCTGTGAGATGACTACTTTTACCATGTATTGGTGTACGTAAAAATGGTCAAACGACAACAATTAGTCCTTAATCATTCTAGATGTAACAGATAAAATGCTCCTTATCATCTGCGAGCAGTGTAATAAAATGCAATAAAGACTCTTTACGAGTAACGAAATAGTTATCGTTGAAAGTGGTTAACTAGTTTTATTACGTTGATCGTAAAAGGTATACATACATTGGAAGAAATATTATATAAATATATCGAACATTACAATTGAAAAATATACAAAGACGTAAACCAACGTGATATTTTTTTACATATATTTCGAGTACGTTGTACGATCGCGTTATATTTTGTGTAGAAAAAAAATAAAAATAAAGAAAAAGATTAAGGAGAGAAGAAAGCAGAGAAAGCTGAAACGATATGCAGGAGTTTGTTCACTGGAAATCACAATGCACTTAAACGTGATGATCTTGGCGAAGTCTGGGTGTTTATTCGGGCAGTGTCGTGCGCAATAAGCGCAGTACAGTCTTGGGCAAACGTAGGAAGCTGATGATTATTGTCACGGTCAGCGACGTTCTCGCTTTTGACAAGTGCACAGAGGGAAATCATGATAATCTAAGCGACAACGCGAGCGTTGCCTGTGAAGAAGTTTAATCGTAGCGGACGTTAAGATGGTGGAACCAATTTTTGATTATCAGTTCCGTCTGATACTCATCGGCGACAGTACAGTCGGGAAAAGTTCGTTGTTGAAGTATTTCACTGATGGGAAGTTCGCAGAGGTACGCAGCAACTGTAACCGTTTCGTCATCGCGTTAGAAAATTGATTTGAAACGAATACAAACGGTATTACGACTCGTCATCGTGTTACTTTTCGTTCTCTCGACGAGCTAAATCGCAGGTCTGGTTTTTCGAATGATCTAACGATTTTATTTCGATAATCTAGTAACACAATTGGAGCATCTCCAATTCTGTGGTTTAATAATACCTGTTATCGATGAATCGTTATCGTTTGAAGGAAAATAATGTCAAAACAACGATATTTTGAAATCATTCTTACAACCTGAACAAATCGATTTTATTTCTTATTTATATTTACTTTTCATATTGCTAATAGGTTAGTAAACAATTAGATTCTCACACCATTTGGGTATAAAGGTTGAATTGAAGTCTATGATATCTCTGTGTTCTGTGTCATTTATACATAAGTAAATAAGATTTTAAAATGTTTATATATATTTACAATGAATCCAGTTCCAGATTTTTTTTTTTTTTTAAATAAGGAAAAGCTTTTTATCTTTTACAATTTCTCTTTATGTCATATATTTGTTAAAAGTATTAAGTTAATAATTTAACTGGCTTAATTTTGTTTAGCTTTCGGATCCAACCGTTGGGGTAGATTTTTTTGCCCGGTTAATCACAGTTAAAGATGGGACAAGAATAAAATTACAATTATGGGATACAGCTGGCCAAGAAAGATTTAGGTGCGTCAGATTTTTATTATGTTTTTTATAAATTGCAAATGAAATTCGTAACACTAATATTTTGTGTTTAAGTTCTTTTTTTTTTTTAATAATTAACTTTGTGCTGAAAGATTATGTAATCTAATGCTATGGTACTTTGTTTACTTTAGGTCAATTACAAAGTCTTACTATAGAAACTCTGTTGGAGCACTGCTTGTCTATGATGTCTGCAACAGAGCCAGTTTCGAGCATATTCCTCAATGGATGATGGAAGCTCGTAGACATATTGAACCACACCGCCCTGTATTTGCATTAGTAGGGTGTAAATTAGATTTGGTTACCAATGGAGGCAGGCGAGAAGTTTCAAAAGAAGAAGCTAGAGCCTTTGCCGATCAGCATGGAGTACATCACATTGAAACCAGTGCAAAGACTGGAGTTAATGTTGAGGATGCATTTCGAACAGTCACACAAGAAGTTTATAATAGAATACAAACTGGGGAATACAAGGTAGAAGATGGTTGGGATGGTATCAAAACTGGATTTGCTAGACCCGGTGGTTTAGATTTTAATTTAGTTGAAGCAGAACCAGCAAAAACCTCTTGCTGTTAAGTCAATGTTTAATTTGTTGAAAAGGACGCTTTCTAGAATGCAGTGGATTTTATTTACGTACATCAATTAAATTCCTCCAATGAAAATACACTGAGATTTTTATAATATTAGTTTCAATTGATAAACAAACTAAGAATTATTTTAATCTAATAAAATTGCATTCCATTGCATTCTTGTTTTAGGGAAAAGACTAACGATGAATATATACTATGTATAAGTCTCGACTAGACAGTTTTGTACATAGCTTGTATAAAAAAATCAATATATATCATTGAAACATATAGGCAATGATCTAGGAGTGTTTTCTATCTCATTTAAAGGACAAAATACATAAGCGCAAAAAAAGTTTGTTTATAGTATAAATTTAGCTAAAGTGTTTTTACGTATTTTGTCATACAAAAACTGTTCTGTTACACGGAGAAAATAACGGCTGTGCTTCTTTGTCAAAAGCATTAATTGTGTAACAAAAATACGGAAAAATATCAGAAAATTTCCTGAAAAAAGATATATAAATCTTCATTTATAACATAAGATATTTATTTACACTAGATCAAATTTAAAACGAAATTTTCAATATAAAAATGAAATTGCAAATTATATATTGTACATATATAAATTATTAATGAAACGCTTATACTACACGTGTTGATTTATCATTTCTTAAACACTAGCAACTTTTTGTTTTTAATGCCACAGTTTGTGATAATGTTATGTATACACGGAGAGCCAAATTAATAAATACTTCACTATTGTTCATATATAGTTAAAAGCAAACAGGATAATAAATCGTTACTTATTATAACATTTTTAACTACAGAAACAATATGAAATGAACAATGATATTTGTGTTCTGATTTTAGAAAATCGATCAGAAATTGATTCTATACATACTACATCACATGTTTATGTGAGAATCTTGTTCAAACATCTTGTTGTGAAATATTATATTAGCTAGTATATCTTAATTTACCTTAATATGAACCGATAAGCAATTGCTTTATTATATTTTTATCATAAGATGTATTATAAAGGTGCCAGATGAGTATGAGGCAAAAAAAGTTTTTTATAATGTAGTCTAATATATTTCTAATATAAACATTTTTTACCAGGTTGTATGTTTTACACTTTTTCATATCTATCTTTAAAAACAGAACACCAAAATTTCCTTACTTCGAGAATATAATTGAAGAACAAAAACATTTGCATATTTTTAAGACAGAAACAAATTAATGAGGGTAAATTCGAGTACATAAATGTTATTTATAAGACTTGTGTATCTCTGTGCGAGTTTAATTGACTAGGAAGAAAATATTTATTTACATACAATAACATTATTGTATGCAATGTATAATACTTTTCAGGACAAACAATGCACTGAATCTGCATTTGTATAAATAAAGAGCATAAATACAGCATGAATAGAATTCATTTATGAAGTTTTATACTCATTAACTGTGGCATAAAGCGAAAATACGTAGATACTTAAAAAAAAATGAACAAATATTATATAACTTGTCATCAACCTTGTATAGCTCTCTATACAGGATATTTATCTTTTAGCTAGGAAATAGTAATGAAATACGTGTGCAGTGTTGCAAAATACTGATTAACAAAATGAGTTGTTATATTTATAAGGAATGTAAATTTTTTATATTAATATTATCCAAAGTTGTAACAAGTTCCTTTACGTTTTTTTAACAATTTCATGTAAATATAAATTGTCAATTTTACTTTGAAGTTGTAAATTGTTACAAATCTGTGTGCTACATTGTTTTAAACGCGCGTGGGCTCGAATACATCGTGAAATATATAAATTCCAACCATTTTCTCATAAAATGTATAAATTTATGGGTAATTTGAAATTTGTTTAGGTACATAAATCTTTGTACACTACACATTTATATATAATCATGTTGAAAAATAAACAATATATCATAGAATTCTATATTATTTTTCTATCATTTATTGTATGTAGTTAATGGTATCACTTTCTGTGAAATAAAATTTGAAATAATATTATTAATAGTACATTATTTACACTATACATAAGACTGTAATCAGAAAAACAATTTAAATATCGATAACAGATGGAATCTCCTATTTAGTATACTATAAATGAAAATGATTTATTTACGAAATGTACAAATAGCAAAATTTCACGTATAATTTTAAAATATTGATCTTCTTACTATTTCTAATGAGAAACATATTTATAACTTTCATTTATATACAAGTTATAAAATAATTTAAAATGTTTCAAACTATGAGTAATAAGTAAACATAAATTTATCATGCTGCCTATATAATCCATGTATGTCATCTTTCATACATGGAAAAAATAATTTAGTAATAAAGTACTATGATAATAAGTATTTTTTTTCCTCCCAAAGTAATAGTAATTATAGTAGTACCTAAATCTTTAATTTAATTAAAGTCGTAGCATTGGTTTTTTTTCAGAGAAACAACATAAAAAAATTTTAATTATACAAAAATAAAGGAAATATCTACTTGATATAAAAGATATGCCCATGAAAATTATACTATAGATACTTATATTATTTTATAATTTAAGTTAAATTATATACATGTTTACATTATAGAGATATTAAACGTTTTACAAGAACCTAGCAGCAGGTATAATATTATAAATTACAATTTATTACAATAACGTAATAATTCACATTAATTCCCATTGATAAAAAATGTGATTTATAATATAAACATTTTGTTCAATTAACTTGTACATTATTAGAGATGTATGAAGTAGTACTAAAATGTGTTTGTTTTAATAGTCCAATTACAATTCGTTAATCGATAAAACATCTTTACTGTACATATTACAAATAATAATCGCATATTAAATTGTTCATAAAATTATGATTACAACAGTCATAATTTTATACTTTATGAAGCTAAATCTTAAATATTTATACTCTTAATAATTACGAATTCTTATTTTCCAATAGTACTATGCTCACTATTTTGGAAGAAAATGTAAATAGTTTAATTGTATTTAAAGTGACTAGAAACGTTATTACTCCTTTCTTTTCTTGCTATTATTATATATTTCTTATTTTGGCAAGAATTACGTAATGCAAATGTACGAAATCGTGGACAGTTTCTTAGAAATACTATATTTACGATATATATATATACATATAATATATATTTATACGTATATGTATATATATAATAATACTTGTGTCTAAATAATACTTTCTAGAATTATTTATTTGTACAGTATAACTTAAGCGATTTAGCTTAGGTATTTCGTATTTACAAAACAATTTACTACATGAACTATGTACACAAAGGTAATCATTAGGGAAGGGGGAACTAAGTTTATATGACGGTAAATAGCAATTCACTATGAATATGAAATGACAAGGCATCTTAGTGGGATAAGTTATATAGTGAACTAGGAATATTATAAATAGAAATTTGAAGCAGAGAAAATTGTCTATAACTTGATTAGTTTAACGATATCCCATAACTAAAGCTCTCTTTCAATTTCATTTTAATATGAAAGAATTGAGGCCTCATTTACCAGACACATGGAGTTCATTGGAATCTGTATTGTTGAATTTAGATGACTTTAACTAAAAGTTAGCATACTAGTTAAAATTCCGAATGGAAGAATCTATGAAGAGAAAAATATGAAATCCTCTTATAAGGATTTATTAAGATATCGAAACGTCACATTATGATTTAATCATCGATAACCAATAAATTACTGATAAAAAAATGAAACTCCTAGATTATATTCATATGCGGGTAATGGAATGTGGAGAAATCCAGCTGAATGAATGCATCTTATAACGATACTTTTCAATTTGAAGGGAATTGAAATGTAGTTAGTTTTATGAATAAAGAACATGATGATAAGAAGAAAGGATGAATGGTTAGTAAGTATAAGAATAAAGACATGGATTCAGAAACATACGTTTACCCTAGTAATCACTGAATTCATGCTGGATGAGTTGAAACTTCCCGCTCCCTTGTCGCATAAAGTGAGGCTCGGAAGCGTCTGTAACGCAGTAAACATGGAAGTAATGTAGAAAAAGTTTTAAAAAAATGTGAAGAAATCTTTCTAATAACAGATACCAACCAATTTTTAATTTCGTCCAAGTGCCTCATCTTGGAATGTCCTCTCAATGATCTATGATTGCATGTGTCTACTTTAAAGGCAATTCAAGAAAAAGTTCTGCATTTATACAATAAGTGAAATATTAATTTGCAATGGATCACTTATTATAGCTTTACTACTCCAACGATTCGCATCCAAATAAAACGTACTCTTCCCTTGATAACCAGAATGGATTACCCTCTATGTATTCGGGTGGAGTTTTATCTGAAATAATGATTCACGTGGAAAACTTAGATATTTAATTATAATAACATGAATAATTATAATACAAACTACTTTGTATGCTTACCAGGATGTACAGCTAAAGGCACGTATGTGGAACCCATAGCTACATTCCAACTATGTGTACCAGGACAATTTCTCACTTCCAAAATTTTGCTATGTTCAGGTAATATTTCTTGTAAATCTTTAGTTAGTCTTAATTCAAAACCTGAAAGATCTGTATTGCCTCCGGTAAGTAATATGTTCGAAAGGCAATCATACATTAAATCTTCAGATAAACCTGAAGTTACATCCTTTATCACTTGCGGTAAACCAAGATTGATGTACATCATTTCAGGAGCAATATATAATTCCGAACCCAAGGAAACTCTCTGAAAAATATTTCTACTTTTATTCCAGTTTTCCTGAGACTTCGCAATCTCGTAAATATAAGTATGGAATTTGCTTACCCAAAATTGTTTGTAGTCAGCATAACTATCAACTCTAAGATTAATATATTCCCTAGATTTTTGTCCTACTCGCTTTTCTTCATTTTTAATATTATAACTTAGTCTACATCTTTCTTTGACCGCTAACGTGTCCAAATATGTTATAGGAATTTGATGATACTCTTTTGGTTGCCAGTGCATAGCTTGTTTTAAATGATAAGCTACATGCCAACCACCTACAGGTAACAACCTCCAACGTTGCGGTATAACACGACCGCCAATCACAACAGCTACCGTTGTACTAAGAGCTCCACTATCAACAACCACGCAAGTTTCTACGCTCAGCATCGCGCATGCTGCCAAAGGTTTTGGAACCAGACATACTCTATAAATTTTATAATTATATTTGTATAATAACTATAGTTCTTTGTTACTTAAAAAAATGTATTCTTTATTTATGATATTTTTTTATTATACCTTGCTACTTTAACTTCTTGGAACAAGTAGTGCAATAATTGTTTCCTTAATGTTGGATGCATAGCTAATGGTTCACAGAACATGAGCACCGCATTAGGTTTTCGTAATATTGATGTTAAACTCATCTGATGAAACAAGTGATCAACAAAAGTCTTAAGAACAGGAAATGTCCCATCGCTTAATAATGCCTCTGCTGGACTAACAACGTCGACGTTTGGAATTCCAAGTACTTCAACAGTATCAGTGCAATATCCATTTATAAGTTTCTCATAAATTGGATTTGGTCTTGTGTAACATGTTGGATCATTTTGATTCGTAATTAATCTCGTTTTTTCTCTGTATAATTTTACAGGATTACAGAAGACAC